ACCTCTTCTGCTAAATATGAGTCAGACAATGAAGCAGATGAAAGACTGGGCAAAGTGATCATATTCTCTGCACGAGAATTTGCCATGCTTCTTGAGAAAAGAAGAAAGAGGATGAGGATGAGTAGTAAATGTATGGTGATAATCAAGTCCAAAGTTTCTCAAATTTGTGCTCCTCCAGATGTTTTGGACCAGCTCCCACAATTCCTAATCAATTAGTCTATTCTCGGTATTTTCATTTGTAAAAATGAAATTATAAGAAGAGAGGAATAACAAATGAGGACAATATGCTGGTAAAGTAATATGCAATTAAATATTTGGGTTAGGTATAATTTGGAACAACATGTTCCGGTATCAGCTGAATACTTTCTCATATCAAAGATTGCCATCCAAACACAATTGACTGGAAATATTTCAGAACCTTGTTCTATGTCATTCCCCATATTAGCAAGGAGCATGCCAACCCAAACAGCCCATTGCAAGTTGTTTCAATAAAAGAATCAAGCTTTGTAGATAAGCATCAGCAAACTCAAAGTATAAAAGCCCATTAATGTCTCAACTTTACTGTCATTTGCACAGCAAGCTTGAAAGATTCCTGCTACTGCATTGAAATACTTAGCATTTATATAACCTTTCTGGAGTATTCTAAGAATTTCACATGCAGTATCTCATCACAATCCAGGGTATAATCCCATAAGAAAGGTTAATATCTACTTTCTTCCTATTTGAAAGACTGAGAACAAGACAATGTGGTCACTTGAAGTCTACCTGGTGAAGTCATTGGAAAGCTAAAATACAATGTCATAGATACAATGCTAAACTACTCCCATTCCTATATGTTTTGTTTGCCTCCTTGAAGCTTTTGTATTTCAGGATAGAGAAGAGCTCTCTCACAAAGGACTCTTTGTACCAAACTACAAAACCCAGAATTTTAAAAGATGGAAGTTTGATAGCTGAAGTAGTATCATATGGGTGTAACTGTTTAGGCTAGATGCACTATATATCTCTCACACATATACACACACTATGGGTATATACAATTGGCTCATCAGAGTTGGATTACGAACATAGGACAATGAATATATCTAGTCTTACCTCAAACTTAAACCCAAAAAACAATAACATTTCATTACTGTTGGCAAAATTGAAAATAATTATAATTATGAAAGTTAAGTGTGCCAAAGGTGGAGTTTAATTGTACTGCTGTTTATAAATTCACAGTATTTGTTCATTTTGAAAAGGTTTGACAAAGAAAAAAGAATTCACTTTTATACATCATCTTCCCCATCTGTGTTATTGTCACAGATTTGAAGAAATTTAGACAAAGACAAGAATGTATTGATGGTGGACTCAAATTGTACCAGCATCCAAATAGTAGCTACTTTGATTAGGAATGAAGGCAGTTGCTGTCAGATGACACCTGGAAAACTATGCACTGGCTATTGGCGCCATAGGCTATTGCAGTTGACTCAAGCTGAAAATCTGGCAGCTCTAACTAAACCCTTATTTGTACACCAACAGCAATGATAGTCAACAAGGTTGTGAGTGTATTCTAGGTTTTAGTTTAAACTTTAAAAGAGGTATCCCAAACATGCTGAACTTGTTTGGGGAATAAAGTTCTGTGCCTTGGATAGTGGAAAACCCAAAATGGATTCAGCAGTTTACTGACATGAAGGCTGTGAGGCTCTAAAGGCTCTCTAGTCCTATTCTGATGCAGTCTTGATCTGCAACATCAAACTAATTCTTTATCAGTAAGCCATGTTTTCAAATGTTAGCTTTTGGGGATGCCAACAATGCAATAAAACTAAAAGGGTGATTATACAATCCCACCTCACCTGTATGAGAGGAAGAATTCATTAATTGCTAACTCCCTACCAGCCTCTATCATTGTGGAATAGGCCACATGAAGTCTTGTGTGAAACATTTAACCCTCAGTTTACTTCTTGATGGTAACATATACTGTACTTGTGAGACATACTACTCACTAATCCAAAGACAATACTTAGCTATTTCAGAAATCAACATACATGTCTCTACTCACTTAGCATTATGAACAATGAAGTTATTTTAATTGTTTTTAAAATTGATTGTAAATGTTTTTAAATTATTGTCTTTGGAAGCTAGCATGATCCACTCTGGGAGAAAGATAGCATATAAAATAAATAAATGCATAATAAAATACAGATGAAGTATAACATCTTGGGCTTTGCTTTTATTTATTTTTTAATGTCCAAGAAATTTATTGAATATTTACTAGAGTACAATCTGGGAAGAAATATTCCCGAAACCTCACTGACATACATACTGAATACTTTGCCAATCTTGTTAGATATGAAAATATTGAGAACAGCATTTTAGACAATGCCTAGTTTATTGAGGGGAAGGAAAGCAAAATTTCAGTCCAAAGCACCTTTCCTTTAAAGAGATTAAGCAATAACTGCAGCTGATGGTTTCTTGTATCTTCAAAATTTGGTCTCATTAAAACTTGAAAATATTTCAAGAAACTCTCCATAAACATAGATGTGCCCATTGCAGGTATTTATTTGAGTTGTTGAAAGTTTTCAATTACTTGGAGACTTTTAAAACTCTAGTTAGACATTCAAAAAACTTCAAATTTGTTCCTGCGTTGTGCCCTCAATTATGACCTGAAATGAAGAAACATGGGCAAAATGTTCCCATGTTTACCAATCACAAAAACAGCCAATCAGTGACAAATCTAGTTCTCCTATTTGCAATGGACATGAAGGCCCAGACAGCACAGTTTGGTCTTATTTCTGTGCCAGCCAGAAGAACTAGTTGACAACACAGTAGGGTACATAACAAGCCCCAGATGTACTCCTCAAGGCTTCTCCTAGAAGTACTCAAGATTATATGCTTGCCTCAAGCACTCTTTGTCCCCAATAGCATTATGCAAAAAGAAGTCCTCCTCCACCACTATAGGATTAAAGTGACATCCTTTAGACCTCATCCCATGTCACCAGGCAAAACAATTTAGTGGCTTTCGAATGCAATCAGATGCTTTTTGCAAAGAGTAGGTAGTGACAGATAGCACTAGCAAGGCTGTAGAGTCACCTTGGTTTAAGGGGGAGTCATTTAGAATCCACCTCTCTGTCCATCAAGGCAGTTGACTTATTGCCAAACCTGCTTTCAAATTCCATTTCATCAACAGCCAGTCTCCTGATTTACCACAAATTTGTCCTTTCTATGTTTCTGCCCCCGCTTTCCAAAAGTCTCCAACCACCCCATTCTGATAAAAATTCACATTTTTATCAGAATTCCACTTTTGTCCAATCTGTCTGTCAGAATGGTAAGCCCTTCAAGTCAGGCACAGTGTGACTGTTATGTCTAAAGTGCATAACACATGTATGGGGAGAAATGTGTAATTGTTAGAAATGGCTACATGTAATTTCAGTGCCAGCTCTACTATTTGACAGAGTAAGGCAGCTGCCCCAGGAAGCAGATTTGAGGTGTGATAAGAAAGAATAATGGGAGTGTCAGTTGTGAGGGTTTTTTTTTTACTTTGTCTACAAAACAAATTGTATGGACTACAGACTTGAGAGTTCACCTCAGGCAGCTCAGGAGCCCCCGGTGGCGCAGTGGGTTAAACCCCTGTGCCAGCAGGACTGAAGACTGACAGGTCACAGGTTCGAATCCGGGGAGAGGAGGATGAGCTTCCTCTATCAGCTCCAGCTCCTCATGCGGGGACATGAGAGAAGCCTCCCACAAGGATGATAAAACATCAAAATCATCTGGGCATCCCCTGGGCAATGTCCTTGCAGACGGCCAATTCTCTCACATCAGAATTGACTTGCAGTTTCTCAAGTCGCTCCTGACACGACCAAAAAAAAAACAAACAAAAAAACACCTCATGCAGCTAAAAGTCTAGGTCCAGCCCTGAAGTACGTATACTCTTCTGTTAACTGAAAACCTTCCAAAACAAAAGATTGTGATAGAAGAGGGGACAAAGCCTATGCATTTATGATATACAGTAAGCACCTTGTTAACTGCAGAATTCAATATTTGTGGTTTCATTTACCCACACACATAGGAAGAATACCTCTCTCTTTGAACCTCCAGGTCCTCCAATACAACTATGGCATGCAGTGACCGGAACTGGGGTAATTCAGTGGCATTGGTCATTTCCACAATTTCTCATAATGATATTCTGGGCAAGGATGTATCTCTCACAGACACTCAGAAGAAACTGAGTATAGGAAAAGTAGATTAAGGTGTCTATAATAATTACTTGATCAACTCTATTAGTCACTGATTTTGTATGGGTAGGAACACAAGGAAAATAAGCATTTTGCTAATGGAAAACTGGTTCAATAATTGGCTTATCTACCTAACAATTCATTAGCTACATTTCAGTTAAAATATTTTGGCTTTTTGACCACATACACAGCCCATTTCCTCCTATCCCTGCAAAATGCACAACTAAAGGTAAATCAGGAAACCTCTAATTGAGCATTCACCCTTAATATTCACAGGAAACTAACATTCATTAATAAAAGGCTTCCTGGTTTAATCATCACTTATATGAGTGGGCATAACACTGGTATCCATATGTTAATCAAAGGACTTTTGTATATTTCAGCAAAAAAAACCAAAACCCTGCAATATGATAATTGGAACTAGCTCAGTGACAGAAGATTTGATTTAATGTCTACTGAAATCTTTAGATAAGATCTAGCCACATGAGCTAACAGCACTAAGTTTAGAGCTGAACCACATGCTTTTCTGAACATGACCTATTCCTTCTAGGTCAATTTCTGATTAATCATTATGCATTTCAAGTACAGTTGGCTGAATATAATTGTACAATAGTCTTTGCTGGCTCAGTCCCTTCTGATGCCAATATTCTTTAACCTGCCATCAGTTCAAGACATTTCCTGTGGTCACAGAAACCCAGCTTTCAAACCAAAAGTAGAGGAGTCATGACTATATTAATGTCATAACAACTACAGTTAGAAGTCTGATCTGAAAAAGAAATTGTGTCCTACCAGTTTATTGAATAAAATCCTTTGACCTTGAGAATAGGTGCATTGAAGTTTAGGTGTGTTTTGCTCCCCAACCCTCTACTGTCCTGGGAAGGAGTTGACAGCATCTATGGGGAAATCAGCTGAAAAGCAAACCAGATGACAGTGTGAAAGCAAGGCTTGATCTTTCTGTCTATCTCCCCAGGGAAGGTGCAAATTTGAAGAACTCCTACACTTTTGTAGGTCTAGTTAGGAAAACAAAAGAGCTTCAGGTGCTTGCTTCTCAGTCTTTCAGCCTCTCTCCTTCTCCCCGCCTCTTGGTGCCAATCACATACACAAGCACACACTCACAACATAGATGGGAGGGGGTAGAACATGGAGAAAAAACTCAAACACTTTGAAAAAGACTTCCTGCTACTGGAGGGTGCAAACAAATGTCAAGCTGACACAATGATATTCAGCCTCCTTTCATAAAATAAACTGTTAGTATGCTATTTTTTCTGGATGCTGAAAAACAGGGCTTCCTGCAGAGGAAGACATTAACATGGGTGGCACATTCACTTCAAGGTTTTATCTTATCACAATTTCTCTTGCAAAATGAAAAGGGCAGAACTAAACTGGAATATCTCACACTAATCACACGTTCACTACCTTGGGGTTGTTGCATGACAGAGAGATTTACAGTTATCCTCCTCCTTCATTCTTTAAAACAGAGAGTTCTGGTTGCTTAATTGGGGTGGGGGGCAATTAAGAAAAAATTAAGAATCTGGGTTTTATTATAGGAACTTCACCTAAGTATAGGGTAGTTATTTAAGGCATTACTCCAAGCTTGATACTACTGAAAGATGGGACAGGAAAGACTGGGGAATAAAGTGAACTCACCCCTGAAGCATCAGTCTGGAAGGGGACAGGTAAACATTTAAAGAAATGTGCTGCTCACTCTAATTATAACCACCGCTACTACTCTGGTAGGTTTTCTTGGTACTTTGTATGAGACTTTGTTGCATTTTTTTCATTCAACACAGCAAATTGTGTTTACTGGGTAATAATTTTATTACCCGAAAACATTAATTAAAACAAAATCACATACATAAAAGGAATATCTGTTAGGAAATTGTTACTCAATGTAATGGTCCAGAGACAGATGCTGATTCTCAAGCCACTTGATGCAGGTATTTGAAGAGCTTATAGGGAAGAGTGAAAAAGTTGTAGACAATGGGCACAAATATGGTACCAGTCCTTAAGAAGCTCTTAACTCCTCATGGAGTAAACTGTGAGAAGCAAAAGTTTTGTTTGTAAAATCTTATTCTAGATCAAGTGAAACTGATCCATAGAACTGATTATGGGTCAACACAACATTTTTTCTGCTTCTCATAGACCAGAGCTGTGTGCTACCAAGAAAGTAATACATTTTTCAGTAAACAAACTTGCATATTCATGCACCACAAGTAGACTGAAAGGCTGCTTCTTACTCAGAAAAGCAAATCCTGGATAGGTTATAGGGATAGAAGGAGTACAGCTCCCAGAAAACCTTAGGAAATATCATGAAGATATCCCAGGGCCCTTCCAGGCAAGGCCCAAAATATAGACCCTGTTGTACTTTTACCTGAGGCATCCAAACCCAGCTTTGTCCCAAGTTACTTTGGTACTCCATTAGACCCAAGCCTTCCTGGGTCTAATGGAGTATAGGGCCAGTTGGGACTAACTTATGGGACTGCTTCCACAGTCCTGGGATCAGTCCCCACAGCCCACCTTGGTTCTTTGGGCTTCCAAAAGTCTGGGGAAATGAGGAGGGCACCTTACCATGCTGTTATTAGGCCTCTCTGGAAGCCATCTAGAGTACCAATGACATACCAGGAGGCAGGATGGGAACAAATTGCTTTTTTATTTTCTTTTAAGTTTTTATTTTCTTTTAAAGCTTTGGAGGGCAATTTTAGCATAATTGAAAGCAACAGTTTCCCACTTGTTACTGATGCTTGCAGTGCAAACCCCCATTATAACAACAAAATACCACCTAAAATAGTATAGACACTCAATTCCTGAAATAAGATGCTCTCCATAACCAGTCTACACTGTGGCAGATGAACCTGAACTATCTCTAACTGAACTGCAATGATCAACACCATTCCTTGCTTCACGGAGAGCCAGCAGGATCTCAAATCCATCTGACTATACCTCCACAAAATGATGACATGAGTGCTGAGATCTACCAGGGTCCCCTAGAGATCTCAGCACTGATGTCATCATTATGCTCTGGCTATGGGCACATAGCCAACTGCTTTTGTAATCTTGCCTGCCCACAAACAAAAAGAGCAGGAAATGGGGAGGTTGAAAGAGACCACCCAAAGTATATGGCTCAGCCTAATTACGCTATTGCTAAGGTCATAGGATTTCAGCCACAGACTCTTGATCATGCAACCCCCCAGTGCCCGAGTCTCCTTTCAAACTATCTCCAAAAATGCTAGGTCCTAGCACTGAGAACCAGTAGAACTATCTCCTTTGGCAAGTCAGAGCCTTTCTGTATCATCCATGTAAGTTGAGCAAGTATATTCATGTAGCTGGCATAGTATAATTAATAAAATAACACAGTATGGGATTTAAACAACTTCTAGTTGAAAACAGTGCAGATTCACATCCTGTAATATCTTATGCCAGTCAAATGACACAAATGAGTCAAATACTTCTGTTTCCCTTTTAAAAGATGCTGAAATTGTAAAAAAAAATACAAAATTTTTTAATGTTGAAAACTTTAATGAGAATGCTAAACTGGTGTATGTTGATTGCAAGCCAGTGTCAGTATTTTCATTCTTGCATTTCAAGTTCTTGCTTCAGACTTTTCAGGTAGGCATGGATGCTGTCATAACCATGATACTTGGCCAAATAAACCAGAACATCTGTTGCGCAGCATCCTTCCCGTGCCTGCAGTAGCTGCAGTTACAGATTCCACAGCAGGGTGCGCTATACCACTCTGGATCCAGCAAAGCAGTTTTGACTTCCTCTCCATAGCAGTTGTGAAGTCAGGGCCCACAAAACTGACCCTGTACTCCTATACATTCTGGGTTGCAACAGTTTGTCTTGGTGTCTATAGTTTTCTGGCGGCATTGATGACAGGTGGACTCCACTGTATGGTTGTACACTTTATCATTGGCAGCTTCACAGATATTATTTTACTCTTCCTGGGTTATTTCTTCCACTGGACTGATAATATGGGGAAGGGTCATAGCGTTTTCTTCTGGGAGCATCCATTTCATCCTCAGAATAGTCATCCAATGTTCTCCTTCTCACTAAAATGTAAGGATCTTCCTCCTGTTTGTCTGACATGGGGCTTGGAGGGCCTTCAATCAGGGTTCACGATCTGGTATGAGGCCTAGAACTTCTCTCTGGATTCCTCCATAAAGCACTTTTGGGAAATGATTTCCTGGGAGTCCTCCATGGTTTCAAAATAGGAGTTGTCAGTACACCTTTCCCAGGAAACATTCCAGGGACATTCAATTCTGCCATTAATCTTGCAAGCATGGCCTTGTTTTCCTTTATATTTAAAGCTCTTTTCTCTAAGAATGTTGGTCTCTTTCTTCATCAGAATCTGAATCCAGGTCCAGTTCACAGGGAAGTTTAGAAGCAGGAGCTATTTCAGCCTCCCCTCTCTAAGATCTCCGAGGTGGAAACTTCATAGCAACTTTAAGAGGGACAGGGCAATTCCGTGGTCTCTTATGTCAATGTTTATCTTCATCACACTCATCGTTTTCTTCAGAATCAGTATCCAGTTTCAATGCATCCTGAATTTCACTTTCTGAAAAGCCACAGAATGATTCGTCATCTGAATCCTCCCTGGAATTTTTGGCCATTTCTTCTGTAACTTCTGGCTTGAAATTTGATTTTGTGTTTGCAAAATTATCGGAGCCAAAACTGTCACAGCTGTCATCAGAGGATGAAGAGGTTTCCATAGGGATCAGCTTTGTATTGCGGAATGCTATAGAAAGAATGCTTCTTTCCTGAAAAGTCGCCCTGCAAATGGAAAGGGTCCATGTTGGTGGTTGGATTGCCACTGGAAGAGCACAATTGCACCTTACTTGCTTACTTAGGCGATTCCTCGTAGTCCGAGGTGACTGTGGAGCCCTATTCTTGATCTGCATCTTCTCCCACAGTGAGGGCCTCGGTTTCCAGGTGGAAGGTGGTCCCGCTTGGGGTTGGCTTGACGTGCCTTCCTCTTGGCACATTTCTCTCTTTCGCCCTCCATTTGTGCCTCTTCAAATTCTACAGCAAATGCTACAACTGCACCATTGCAAATTGGAGCCAGTCAAAGAAAGGAGAGCCAGGCCACCAAAGGCTCGTGCCAAAGCCTCTCCAAAAGGCTGGAGGGCAGTTGGGATGGCCCCACTCCAGCCCATTAGTTACTGCAGTGGAATAGAGACAACCTCCCGGAAAGCCCAGGTCTTTTGGATCTCATTGGGACTTAAACTCACAAAGAAGCAGGTTTCTTAAACCCTGCCTGGAAGCATCCCCAGAGTTTTTTTGGGAACTGTGTTTTATATATTCTAGGATCTAGGTGCCATATTCTAGGATTCTAGGACCATAAGGAAGGCTGAGTGAAGGAAGATAGATGCTTTTTGAACTGTGGTGTTGGAGGAAAATTCTGAGAGTGTTTTGGACCACAAGAAGATTAAACCAGTCCATACTCCAGGAAATAATGCCCAACTGCTCACTGAAGGGAAGGATATAGAGGCAAAGATGAATTACTTTGGCCACATAATGAAAAGACAGGAAAGCTTGGAGAAGACAATGATGCTGGTGAAAATGGAAAGAAAAAGGAAGAGGGGCCAACTAAGGGCAATATGGATGGATGGTATCGTTGAAGTGACTGGCTTGACTTTGAAGGAACTGGTGGTGGCCACAGCTGACAGGGAGCTCTGTGTGGGCTGGTCCATGAGGGCATGAAGAGTTGGGAGTGACTGAATGAATGAACAACAATGCAAAGTGTCTCCTAAGTTGATATATAGCTAATTAACAAAATATTTGATTAAGATCCTACATTTTAATTGGTGAAAGGAAAAAAATATCCATGCTGGATGGATCCTCCAATTTGTTCATGAGTGTGAGATCACTAGTATGAGGTTTGGTCTTGAATGTGTGGTTGGAGATAAAGTCCTTTCCACACTGCCCCTATATCTCAGGGTCTGATCCCAGATTATCTGGCTATCTGGCAGTAGGAACTCATATAATTCAGTTTAAATCAGATAATCTGGTATCAGATCCTAGGCTATAGGGCAATGTGGAAGGGGACTAAGATGACTGCAAAACAAGCCAAGCCATGTTGTCTTCCTCTTCTTTCATAGTCACATCCCCAACATTCACATCAAATAATGTGAAGTCTCTGTAATGGTGAGGAAGGACCAGGAAATGGACTCATAGACTGAGATTTTCCTCCAAGACTTAAACTTGATTTAAGGCTTTTAAATTTCCCATTATTACTATGGGGCCTGGGAAAATATCACTGATATGACAGGACCACAGTTTACATAATGGCCACAATAATGTTTGCAGAGATCCTGGCTGCTCTAGAGTTTTCTCTCCCTTCTCTGCAATCATATGTATTCATTTATTTTTCATTTATTTGGAACTGCATGACCTCATTTCCTTTATTAAAAAATAAACTCAGTACTACTTTCATCATAAACAGTTCTGTAAAAACTCATCAAACCTAGCAAACAAAATGAAAAGTACTAAAACTCACTATATACAATAATACCTTGTGTGAGATAAAACAGCTCATGCATAGAAAACAGGGGAGACACATCACATCTAAAATCGATATTTTTCCTTAGTAGGGTTGGTGTCACCACATCTTTGATGTGGGTAAGGAGTGGCTTATTCCCCCCTCCACCCAATACATTTATAATTTACATAACTGGCGTCCAGATTACTTCAAGATATTTCTTTGGTTTTTGTTATTTTGTATATCGAAAGTCACTTTTCTTGTGGGTAATTTTCTGAGGCCGCAGGCAATGGATGGAAGAAGTTAAAACGAAAAATAGAATGCATGTTCTCAGACTCTCTAACAGACTAAAATAAGACTATAATCATTAAATTAGCCACTTGCCACTTAGACCTCTTCTGCACTGCCATATAATTCAGATTATTGAATAAGATCATTCAGATTATCAAATCAGATAATCCACATTATTTGCTTTGAACTGGATTATATGAGTCTACACTGCTTTATAATCCAGTTCAGTGCAAATAATCTGGATTTTATATGGCAGTGTAGAAGGGGCCCATGTCAACAGAGGGTGTATCTACATTAGAATAAATGTAAGTAGACATTACTTTACTGCCATGGCTCAGTGCTATGGAATCTTGAATGTTGTAGTTTTAATGTTTATTTAGTTTTGTCTGTCAAATATTGCAGTGCCTCATCAAACCACAACTTCCATGATTTCATAGCAGTGAGCAATGGTAGTGTACATTTGTATTACTTCTGTAGTGTAGGTGCACCCATGGTGTCATTCATCTGGTCTCCCCCCTCAAATACTGACAGCTAGTGGTGACGTAAGAACAAACCAAAACTAGAATCACAGAGTTGAAAGAGATTCAAGCTCCATCTATACTTTATAGCAGTTTTTTTTTTTGTCGTGTCAGGAGTGACTTGAGAAACTGCAAGTCACTTCTGGTGTGAGAGAATTGGCCATCTGCAAGGACGTTGCCCAGGGGACGCCTGGATGATTTTGATGTTTTTATCATCCTTGTGGGAGGCTTCTCTCATGTCCCCGCATGAGGAGCTGGAGCTGATAGAGGGAGCTCATCCGCCTCTCCCTGGATTCGAACCTGCGACCTGTCAGTCTTCAGTCCTGCCGGCACAGGGGTTTAACCCACTGCGCCACTGGGGCTCCTTTATAGCAATGAAATATGCCATATAAAATCCAGATTATCTTATTAGAACTGGATTATATGGCAGTGTAGACTCATGATCCAGTTTAAAACAGATAATCTGGATTTTATATAGCAGTGTAGAAGGGGCCTCAAAGGGTCATCCAGTCCAACTTCATTCTGCATTGCAGGAGCATATAATCAAAGCACTCCTGACAGATGGCTGCACATACAGCCATGGTTTCAAAATCCTCAGAGGAGGCTCCACCACACTCTAAGGCAGCATATTTCACTGCTATAAAGTTCTTCCTAATATTCAGGTGAAACCTCTTTTCCTGCAATTTGAATCTATTGTGCCATATCCTAGGATGCATCTATACCAGTGTTTCATAAACTGCTCCTCCAGGTGTTTTGGACTTCAGCTCCAAGAAATCCCAGCCAGCTTACCAGCTGTTATAAATTGTAAGAACTGAAGTCCAAAACATTTGAAGGAGCACAGTTTGAGAACAACTGATCTACACTGCAGAATTAATGCAGTTTGATGCTACTAACTGGCAGTAGTTTTACAATCTCTTTAGTCTTCTCTGTTGAAGAATGCTGTTGCCTCTACAACTTCCATGTTTCCATAGCACTGAGCCATGGCAATTGAAGTGGTGTCAGACTGCATTAATTCTACAGTCCTGATGTACCCCTAGTCTCCAGACTAGGAGACTAGCCTGCTCCATCTTCAGTATGACAGTTCCTTAACCATTCCTGGCCTCTTAAGAAGCCAACAGCCTACACACCAACAAGAACAAAACAAGTGACACAGTCTGTGATCTGTGATTTTTTTCAGGATAGTGACAAAGATGGAAAAAGCCAAAGTGAATTACCTTCCAGCCAAAAATGTACTTATGGTAGTTATGTCAACAATGATATCTGAAAACAACACCTAAGTGTGTCTCTATCTCTGCTGAATAGATTGTCTATCATGCACTGTGCTGTTTCTCCAGGCAGAAGGTAGTGCTAAAATCCACTATCGGTGACTTGCACTTAAATCAATAGGTCTTGTGCTGGTGTAAACATTTTATGATATTCTTGTAGAAGACATTTATGCTCCTGAGGCTGCTGCCCTCTCACCCATGCAATATAAACATTAAGTCAAAAACTTACTTCCCTGACTTTTGAATATTTTAAAAAGAAATGTATTCTAAGGAGTTTGTGGTTGTAGCTGAAAGCTTGGCTGCTTGGTGTATGGAAGATGCAATGCCATTGGGAGGAAAAGTAAAGTTACTTGGGATATGAAAATCGTAAACCCTGAAGTATTTTAAATTGGTAACACTAATCCTTTTCTCCCACATGATTGGTATTTTTTATGTCCCTCACTTGTTTCTCTCCTCCCTTCTCAGCCTGGCCAATGTGATTGTCTGGATGAGAGTGAACAAACTGAACAAGCTGAATCCAGACAAGACAGAGGTCTTCCTGGTCAGTCACAAGACCAAACAACGTATAGGGTTACAGCCTGTGCTGGATGGGGTTACACTCCCCTTGAAGGCACAGGTTTGCAGCTTGGGAGTTCTGGTGGACTCATTGCTGAGCCTCAAACCTCAGGTTGTGGTGGTGGCTAGGGGGGCTTTCGCACAATTAAAACTTGTGTGCCAGTTGCACCTGTACTTTGGGAAGTCAGACTTGGCCACGGTGGTCCACGCTCTCGTTACATCCAAGATAGACTACTGCAATGCACTCTACATGGGGTTGCCTTTGAAGACTGGAGGCTTCAAATAGTCCATGCGGTTGTTTCGTAAAGCCAGGTTAATAACTGGGGTGGCATACAGGAAGCACACAACTCTCATGTTACATCAGCTCCACTGGCTGCCAGTTTGCTACTGGGCACAATTCAAAGTGCTGGCTTTGGCCTAAAAAGTCCTATATGGCCCCGTCCCAGTTTACCGGTCTGAAGGTATCTCCCTTTATTAACCACCACGAAGACTAAGATCTTCTGGGGAAGCCCTGCTCTCAATCCCACCACCATCACAGTCACATTTGGCGGGGATGAGAGATTGGGCCCTCTCTGTGATTGCCCCCTGGCTATGGAACTTCCTTCCTGGCAAGATCAGATCAGCCTCCTTCCTTCTGTCCTTCAGAAAGATAGTAAAGACATGGTTGTGGGACCAAGCCTTTGGAGCACTGCAATGATGCAATAATAGGGAACCTACTCCACTGACCAGAGCCAGCATGGTGTCTTGAGATGGTTTTAAATAGTCAATTTTAAAGTAGATCTGACTGATTTTATTGTTTACATATCTTTATAGTTATTTTATGTCCTGGCATGGAATATTTGCCATTTGTATGTCATGCTCTGCCCTGAGTCCCCTTCAGGCTGAGAAGGACAGAATATAAATGTTTCTAATAATAATAATAATAATAATAATAATAATAATAATAATAATAATCTTGTGGAAAAAGATAGTCATCTGGATGCTCTGTGTATGTAGTACAGTTATAAAGAATACTCACAAACGGTCTTGTTCTTGATCAGAAAAGTTCTCTTGACACATTCAGGCATCCTGTCAAGAAAATAGTGAATGCCTGTAAGATTTACCACATTTCCACTTTTTTGGTAACAACAATAACAACAACAACAACAACAACAACAACAGAATTTGCAAAAATGAGTTGGATTTTGTATCTGCAGGAAACAGTGTTTTATTGTAAAATAGATCATTTTCTGCACAAAATGGTCTTAAAGTAAAACTGTGCAAAAGCTCTTATGATCATGCTCATTAGAGAGGAAACTTTTGGAATCAGACAAAAACAACCTCTCATATGTCATCAAGCTGAATACAGAAAATATCTCTGGAGCTTCTTGACCCCTTCTATACCACCAGATAATCTAGAATATCAAGGCAGATAATCCACATTATCTGCTTTAACTGGATTATCTGAGTCTACACTGCCATATAATCTAGTATAAAGCAGATAATTTGGATTTTATACGGCTATGTAGAAGGGGCCTTAGAATCCTGAGAGGTTAGAAACCTATGGTACTACATTTGTAGAAGTGGGTTTATATCCCTGAGAGTGCATGTGAAAATAATACTATAGTGAAAATAATACTAGTTACTGCCAAGGGTGCTGCTAGATTTTTTTTTCCTCCTGTTCCCCTTCCTTCCTCTTTATTGTGAGAAGTATGATTTGACTCAGAACTTGGCTATGTTATTCTTCAAGGTTATAGCTCTCAGAATCCCCTAGCTACCATGGCTTGTGGAAGTTGTTGGAAGATTATGTAAGTCAAAAATGTAAGGTTTCCAAGGTCTGTCCAGGCCTGGCTCATGGTTAGAAGACAAGAAAACACAATCTTATTACCATATCATATGGGATCCATGTGAAAAGTTTTTAACTTTTTAGTAATTGGCTATTGATAATCATAAACTCATAACTGATTTAGTTAAGATGCTCTGAATATCCAAGATTTTCTGTGGCCAAATGTAATTTTTTTTTTTTACATTTATAGATACCTAACCACATTTAGCAGCAAGTTTGGCCCCATCTACACTGCCATGTAATACAGTTTGAAACTGTCTTATATGGTCAGTGTAGACTCATATAATGCTTTTAATGCAGTTAAACTGCATTATATGTGTCTATACTGACAAAATCATGCAGTTTCAAACCGTATAATTTGCCAGTGTAGATAGAGCTTTTGTGGACATTATCCTAAGTTCCATGAAAGAAGCAGCACTGAATAAACCAAGCTGTTAGACAAAGATGTCAATGTGCATATAATAATACTTCACAACTTGTTATTATACACTATTGTCTTTGCAATTAGATAGGGCACACACAATAAAAGATCCAATTGTTCCAGTAAGACACCAAAGTGATCCACATCTCTAACATTGCTTGTGCTTTTCAAATACGGATCACAATGGGAAGTTGAAAATAAGGCACAACAGCAATTTAGATCTGATTTGTAGGAACTCCAACTAGGATACTTTTGTACATAAATGTCAGCCTGCTGGAATGCTGAAATCTCTGCAAATCTAAAGGGATGTGTTTTTGCTCATCCCTAAGCTCAGTCCTATACCCAGTAATTGCAAAACATTCATTTTGGCCATCAATTTACACTCTCCACAGCTTCATATTTTCCTAGCAGTGGCAAGGCCCTTATTTCTTCCTTTATTAGGCAAAGTAGCTGTATTATATTATATGCTGCACACAACTCTTCCAGAGCACAAATGCTACCAAATGGCTAATGCTGCTCCCCTTGTGATGATTAGCTCATGCAAATCTCCCACTACATGCATTCATCTGTTTTCCCCAAACAAAAGCAGGTGGTTAGCCATGTAAAGTCAAACATGTAACTGGGGAGGGATATTACACAACACATTTGAAAAATAAACAGTCTTTAGCTGTTAGGTGGATCATTTCAAATACAAAAACATTTAGAGTGCCTCTCTTACCTTCCCCCAGCAACATGTTTTGGGAGGTGTGAGATAGAACTGTAGGCACCATAAGGCTAAATAAAAATATGTATTGCAAAAAAATGATACTGTTTTCAGCTCTATGCTGTTTCTTTGGCTTAGAGGCCACATTTATCCCATTTGTGGGTGTTTCAGCCATATGCACAAAGGCGACGGAAGACACGACCGAGGTATTTGAAATCACGCTCTGTTGTTTGTATTTTCCCCCTACCCCCAAAATGTCAAGTTTGTTATGTCGTGTAAAGTCATACTTATGGCAAGCCACATGGGGAGTTCAGCAACACTGGAGAGAATAACTGTTGATTCTATAAGATGAAACAACATAGTAGTGATTATAATGTCAGACAGGCACTAGAGAGATCTCAAGGCCTTTCTTACTACACAGTTATAGTAGTGTGATTCCAATTTAACTGCCATGGGTATGTTCTGTGGAATTTGGAGACTGGTAGTTTGGGAACACTAGATTACTCTTGCTGATGATTCCAAGTATCTTTTCCTCAACTGCAAATCCCAGATTTGACCAGTTGTTGTTGCAACAATTAAAGTGGAATCATAGTGCTAATACTTGTGTAGTGTAAAATAAGTCCCTCCATTGAAATACCTGCTTGGCTATAGTATTCACAAAGACTATTTGGGGGGGCACATTGTGCATGCTTAACCAACTTCATCTCACACGGAGCTTGTAAGACTTTAAGAGGAAGAGAGCAGGAGAAGAATCATTGTGGGTTTCTTGGGATTTTGGAAGTCAAGTGTAATAAAAATAAAATAAAGCTACCAATCTACAGTGAAGTATGTCCACTGTATATTGAACATACTTCAAATAATATTTGATATTGGAATTCGAGATCTTCTAATATAAGATGTGTAGGAAAAATACTTTGCACATGGGTAACAACAAGAGAACAAAATTACAATCCATTTATAACAATTTTCTCATACTCTGTATGGACAAATATATGTTGTATAGTTGCAATACACTCTAGCACAGTGGTTCTCAAACTTGGTCCCCCGGGTGTTTTGGCCTACAACTCCCAGAAATCCCAGCCAGTTTACCAGCTGTTAGGATTTCTGGGAATTGAAGGCTAAAACATCTGGGGACCCACAGGTTGAAAACCACTGTTATAGCATATCTTCCCACTATTTGCTCCTGATCTCTTTAAAATTTGTTTACAGCAAACGTGATTCCATCAGTTTATACTTTTATAACTACAAAAGTGTAAGTCTAATGCATTGTGCTTTAAAGGATGGGATCCAGATCATCAAAAATTTGTTTTGTGGAAACTCAATACAATATCTTGAGGCTTTTTTGTGTTTTTTTTTGTAGAGGTTCCAACTACATTCAAGATGTTTGCATAGATAATTATTCAATGTCATATTTTTCAGCACTAACCATCCCAATCCCTCTGTACAGATAGAAAAAAAATCTGAGGTAGATAATAGGGCTGGGCGGTTTCGTTCGTTAATTTCGTAATTCGTTAATAATTCGTTATTTTTTTGATAACGAAGCGATATTGAACCATTCAGGAGCAACTAAAAAATGAAATCAATTTTTAATCTATTTCGTAATTGTTTTGTAATTGTTTTGTTATTATTTCCGTATGTCTGGTGCAAGTTTTATAGTTGTTTCCCTCCCCTCTCCCTGGTTGCAAGCGGTCGGCATTTACCCCACTTCCGGGTCCCTGGCCTCTGCTTAAGTGGATCAAATTCTCCTCTCCTCCTGTCGTCACCTCACCTCGTTCCTCACTCTGGCCTGCGTGCATTGGGCAAAGAGACACAGCAGTGCAGCACTCAGAGACCTGCCTGTTGCCTGCCTAACCTCCTGCCTTCCTGGGCAGGGGTTAAAACTGTTATGATTATTATTATTATTATTGAGAAGCATTGTCAAACCAGAATAAAGATTTCCCCCCTCCTCTATCTCTCTCCCTCTCCCCTCTTTCCTTCTCCGAGGTTAAAACTATTATTATTATTATTATTATTATTATTATTAAGAATGGATGGCCATCTTTCAGTAGTGCTTTCACTGTGCCTTACATGCATGAAGGCAGAAGGGGTTTGTTGTTGTTATTATTATTATTATTATTATTGAGAAGCATTGTCAAACCAGAATAGAGATTACCCCTCCTCTCTCTCTCTCTTTCCCCCCTCTTTCCTTCTCCGAGGTTAAAACTATTATTATTATTATTATTATTATTATTATTATTATTATTATTATTGAGAAGCATTGTCAAACCAGAATAGAGATTTCACCCCTCCTCTCTCTCTCTCTTTCCCCCCTCTTTCCTTCTCCGAGGTTAAAACTATTATTATTATTATTTATTATTATTATTATTATTATTATTAAGAATGGATGGCCATCTTTCAGTAGTGCTTTCACTGGGCCTTACATGCACGAAGGCAGAAAGTGGTTTGTTATTGTTATTATTATTATTATTATTATTATTATTATTATTATTGAGAAGCATTGTCAAACCAGAATAGAGATCTCACCCCTCCTCTCTCTCTCTTTCCCCCCTCTTTCCTTCTCCGAGGTTAAAACTATTTTTATTATTATTATTATTATTATTATTATTATTATTAAGAATGGATGGCCATCTTTCAGTAGTGCTTTCACTGTGCCTTACATGCATGAAGGCAGAAGAGGGTTTGTTATTATTACTATTATTATTATTATTATTGAGAAGCATTGTCAAACCAGAATAGAGATTTCCCCCTCCTCTCTCTCTCTCTTTCCCCCCTCTTTCCTTCTCCGAGGTTAAAACTATTATTATTATTATTATTTTATTATTATTATTATTATTATTAAGAATGGATGGCCATCTTTCAGTAGTGCTTTCACTGTGCCTTCCTGGGCAGGGGTTAAAACTGTTATGATTATTATTATTATTATTGAGAAGCATTGTCAAACCAGAATAGAGATTTCACCCCTCCTCTCTCTCTCTCTTTCCCCCCTCTTTCCTTCTCGAGGTTAAAACTATTATTATTATTATTATTATTATTATTATTATTATTATTAAGAATGGATGGCCATCTTTCAGTAGTGCTTTCACTGTGCCTTACATGCATGAAGGCAGAAAGTGGTTTGT